CCCCCCTCCAGCAGTATTTCATATTTCCCTTTGCTGAAAGACCCCGTAGCACCTCCTCTTGTAGCCAGCCTATATTTTCCTGCCCCTCCGTCTTCAGCTTTCCCTCTCTCCCCCTCCAGCATCCTCCGCCTAGGAAAACTACGGCCCAGCGTCAGGAACTTTAGGCAGGTAACACCACACACTCAGGCTTCTTCAGAAGATAAGTGTTTATTTTGGTAATTCCAGGACTAAAGTAACTCGTATACAGCTTGTGTTAGGAATGGCCTGTAATAGGATGGCTACTGACTTATAAGATATTCAAACTGCCCCCCCCCTTGCAAAAGCCAATAGATAGATTCCGCGCACGTGGGCAAAGCAGGCAAGCAAGCATTTTAGCGCCTAAACTGTTACATTTCCCAAGCCTTGTGATTTACAGACAGAAAATCCACCAACGTCATTGCTACAGATAGCAAGCAGCGCCAGACAGGGAAGAGCTGTGAATGAGGAGGGGGAGGCAACCTCCAACTCTATGACAGGGCTACCTGACAAAGGGTGGGGTATAAATCCACTCTCCTCCTCCTCTTCTTCCTCCTCCTCCTCCTCCTCCTCCTCCTCCTCCTCCATCAGTGGAGGTCCATCAGTGACTCTTAGCCACAAGGTATAGATAGGGACTCTGGGGCAAGGGATGCTCTGTCTTCTTGGTGCTTGGGGGGGTCAACAGTGGGAGGGCTTCTAATGTCCTGGCCCCACTGGTGGACCTCCTGACGGCACCTGGTATTTCTGGCCACTGTGTGATACAGAGTGTTGGACTGGATGGGCCTTTGGCCTGATCCAACATTGGCATCTCTTATGTTCTTATGTTATGTTCCTCCTCCTTCTCTTCTTCCTCCTCCTCCTCCTCCTCCTCCTCCTCCTATGGGATGCTCTTTCCGATCTGAAGGGCCCTCAGAACCCGGTCACGGATCTCCTTCGTCTTGACGCCATAGACGATGGGGTTGAGCATGGCTGGGACCACCAGATAGATGTTGGCAAGGAAGATGTGGACATGGTGGGGGACGTTACGACCAAAGCGGTGGCAGAGGAAAGAGAAAACTCCAGGAGTGTAGAGAATCACGATGACCCCCACGTGGGCCCCACAGGTGCCCAGGGCCTTGCGCCGGGCTTTCACGGAGGGCAGCCGGAATACGGCGTGCAGGATCAGACCATAGGAGGTGAAGATGAAGCTCAGGTCACAGCCGACGATGAAGAGGGAGAGGGTCAGCCCGTAGAGGTTGTTGGGTGTGGTGTCTCCGCATGCCAGCTTGACCAGGGCCATGTGCTCGCAGTAGGAGTGGGAGATGAGGTGTGAGCGGCAGAAGGGCAGCCTCTTGACCAGAAAGGGGAAGGGAAGGACCACCACCAAGGCCCGGACGGCAATGGCGGCCCCCAGCTTAGCCACCGTGTTCGCGGTCAGCAGCGAGGTGTAGCTGAGCGGGGTGCGGATGGCCACGTACCGGTCGTAAGCCATGGCCGTGAGCATCCCGGACTCCACCGCACAAAGGGCGTGGATCATGAACATCTGCACCAGGCAGGCGACGAAGGTGATTTCTTGGGTGCCCATCCAGAAGATGGTGAGCATCATGGGCACGACGCAGGTCGGCAAGGCCATGTCGGTCAGCGCCAGGATGGAGAGGAAGAGGTACACGGGCTTGTGCAGGCCGGATTCCGTCCAGATGACCCACAGCAGGGTGGCGTTCCCCAAGAGGGCCGTGAGGTAGGTGAAGAAGAAGGGGATGGAGATCCAGACCTGCTCCTTCTCCAGCCCTGGAAGACCCAGAAGGAAGAAGGAGGAGGAAGTGATGTGGTGGCTGATGTTGGCAGGAGCTGACGAGAGAAATGGAGAGAACGCAAGGCTCAGACATGGAAGCAGGGCTATTTTTGGGCAGGAACGCACAGGAACGGAGTTCCGGCTGGCTCTTGAGTTGGCCACGCCCATAATTGGCCACACCCAACAGCAGAAACTCATTAGGATTGGCTACATTATGGGTGTGTGACCTAACATGCCAAGGAGTTCCTGCTACAAAAAAAGCAAAAGTTGGGTGTGGCTGGATGAGCACATTTCTGGTAATGTGGGGTGTAGCCTCATATGCTAATGACCTGTGCTGTCAGGGGTGTGGCCTAATATGTTAATATGTTTCTGCGGTTGGGTGTGGCTAATTATGCTAATGAGTTCCTGCTGGGCTTTTTCTACAAAAAAGCCCTGAATGGAAGAAAAGGCAACCGTTTCTGCTCATTCCTAGAAGCTAGACCCCATTCGACATTTCGGAATGATTCCTTTCTGAGGTGTTTTTTTTGGGGAGGGGGAGTTTACACTCACCGCCCATTTCTGAGCTCTCATTTTGGTCCTACGCCAAGAAGAGACTTCTCTTGGGCTTTCTTTTTCATTTCACTCCTTTTCTTAAGTGAGAGAGTTGTAGAGGAAGTGTTACACCACACCACACAACCTGCCGAAAGAAGAGAAGACACAAACAAAGAAAGGCAGTGATTACAAGGGAAACAATCAGGCAAGCTTCCTTGGAGGATCTTCCTTCAAGGGAGTAACTCCTTCCTTCCATAGACTTGAGATCTCCCCTGGCTCGAATGGGGTTATGATTCCCCCTGAAAAACAAGGTTCACAGCTTGGGAGTGCTGAACTCGGCACACGAGACACCTTCAAAAACCAGTTGGCTGCTGTGGTTCAGAGTGCTTTTACCCAGTATGGTGTAGTGGTTAAGTCCGCGGACTCTAGTCTAGTCTCCACTCCCCCACTTGCACCTGCTGGATGACCTTGGGCAAGCCATAGTTCTGGCAGAGCTGTTCTTGGAAAAGAGCACTTTCTGTTAGAGCTCTCTCAGCCCCACCCACCCCACAGAGTGCCTGTTGTGGGGAGGTACAAGCATGGACAGCTTCAAAAGGGAATTAGATAGGCATATGGAGCAGAGGTCCAGCAGTGGCTATTAGCCACAAGGTATAGATAGGGGCTCTGGGGCAAGTGATGCTCTGTCTTCTTGGTGCTTGGGGGGGGGGCAACAGTGGGAGGGCTTCTAATGTCCTGGCCCCACTGGTGGACCTCCTGATGGCACCTGGTATTTCTGGCCACTGTGTGACAGAGTGTTGGACTGGATGGGCCTTTGGCCTGATCCAACATGGGCTTCTCTCTTGTTCTTATGTAGGGGAAGGGAAAGGAGTTTGTGAGCCGCTCCGAGACTCCTTTGGGTAGTGAAGGGCGGGGTATAAATCCAATCTCTTCTTCTTCTTCTTCTTCTACCCAGGGTCGGCTGGTACGCCAGCTGCACTCATTCCTGGCTCAGTTTGATCTAGCCACCTATGCCTTAGTAACATTTAGGCTGGACTACTGCGATGCACGCTGCTTCGGGCTACCCTTGAAGAGTGTTTAGAGGCTGCAGCTCGTGCAGAACACTGCGGGTAGGCTGCTGGTGGGGGCCAGCTATTGGGAGCTATTGTGACCCTGATATCACAGCAATTACACTGGCTCCGGAGCCCTGTTCAAGGTGTTAGTTTTGTCCTTTAACGCCCTACATGGCCTGGGACCAGGATATCTGAAGGACCCTCATCTCCCAGATGTTCCTGCCCAGGAATTAAGATCACAGGGAGGGGCCCTCCTGACTGCCCCATCAATCAAAGAAGCTCATCTGGCAGCACACGAGACGGGACCCTTTCAGTGGCAGCCCCACAATTATGGAACAGCCTCCTCAAGGAGGTACACCTGGAGCCCTCGCTTCCAGACCTGCAGAGGCAGGTGAAGGTGGTTTCATTTGGGACTGCATTTGATTAAAGCAGGCCTAAATTGTGATTTTTAAGTTTTGGTTTTATGTATTTTTATATATTCTTTTTTATTATTTTATTTATATTGCACACCACCTTGAGCTCCATAAGGAAGAGAGGCGGCTAGTAGACATTTAAAAAATGTGTAAGACGCTGTAAGAGAACTCATGCAATACGGTCATGCAAGGAGACACGGGCGGAGGTGCGTCGTTCAGAATACACACTGAATAACAAAGGCTTTCTAGACTAGGAACGTGGCAGGAAGTATCTTGTGTTTTTTTTTAAGCTCATGGAATGAGGAAGAATTTTCAAGTTCCCTTCCTTAAGCTTTCTTCTCATCCATGGTCTGGATTGGGGTCAACAAGGCTGACCAATGTTCCCTCTAAGCTGTGGCATCTTGTGAGCAAAAATTCTACCTTGTGAGCTACTGACATTAAAGTTGTGAGTGAGCGATTTGGCGGCTGCATAAATTAGTTTGCTCTGGAGCCACCCATCCTTCCTCAGCTAAGACACAAATGTGTGCGCTGGAGGCTAAAAAACTGTGAGCTAGCTCACACTCACTCCGCTTAGAGGGAACACTGAGGCTGACCCAAAATCCTTCTCTATTGGATGTTCAACGTTCCGCAGATTTGATGCAGACCCCCCTCCCCCCCGCTTATCCACCAAGATGGCTACTAACACTGTACAGTCTTCATTCCACCACCTAAGAGCCAAACATCCATGTGCATGTTTCTGGAATAGGCAAAGCATATCCACACAATAATTTGTGAAAGTCTACACACCTGTTAGGAGCTGCGGTGGCTCAAGTGGTTAAGATGCTGAGCTGCAGGCTGTGGAAGGTCGGTAGTTCAGCAGTTCGAGACCCGAGTGCGCCGCATGACGGAGTGAGCTCCCGTCTCTAGTTCCAGCTCCTGCCAACCTAGCAGTTCGAAAGCAAGAAATTGCAAGTAGAGAAATAGGTACCACTTCAGTGGGAAGGTAACAGCGTTCCGTGCACCTTGGTGTTTAGTCACCACAGAAACATCTTCGGACACAGAAACGTCTTCGGACAGCGCTGGCTCTTCGGCTTTGAAACGGAGACGAGCACTGCAACCCTAGAGTTGGATTCGACTGGCTTTCGCGCAAGGGAACCTTTACCTTTACACACCTGTTGGCTAGGTCAGGTTGGTTTGCCAAGTTCCTTGGTGGTTGTATTGACTGCAGTTGTTCCATAAGGCCTTCCAGTGTACTGTGAATTCCCATCAAAGTTCTGCTGGAAGAGGCTCGCGCTGCTCTCGCCTAAAGACTTGGAGTCATCGCAGAATGTTGCAAAGATCCCCATCAGGGAGAAATTAAAAAGAAGTTGGGAGAGTCCCTGGAGAAGATCCCCAGGGTGTGGTGAAGCCTGCCCTTTAGTGACACACTCTGGGACTCACAATGATAACAAGGCATCTCCCTCAACACTCCAACTAGCAGAGATGTTAGATTCAACACTAGACTGCAATTTGTGCAGTTTGGCAGCATCAAGTTGAAAACTGTGTTCAATGTTTTGTTTTTAAACGGTTTGATGGAATGGGCTTTCCCCAGGCCAATGCTCCACTAAGCAGAGGAAAAGGGTCACTGGGCTGGGTCCCGGGTCCCGTTCTTACAGTGATGGTGCTTTCCAGTGGTCATTTCGTAGAAAAAGAGCTGCAGGAGCTCATTAGCACAACTCATTAGCATAACTCATTTGCATATGCTACACACCGGAAGTGTGTCAGAAGGCAACACCGACCACTGCTGTAATGTACTCCGCCATTACCATGTGCGCGACCGTTGGGCCATGCGCTCAAGCAAAGCCCTGAAGCTTCGCTCAGGGAGAACAATAGCCAAGCAGATCCTAGCCCGCACCTATCAGAGGGCCAGGTCCGCAGCCGAGAGCCTATGGGACTCTCGGCTACTGTAATAGCCTATAGGAAGTAGAGGGTGTGTTTTGGTGGTGGGTTTTCTGGGCAGTCTTTGTCTTATTCTATCCTAATAAAAGTACTTTGCTGAAATCACTCAACGTTTCTCAGTACTTTTCAACTGCTCAGGCTCCATTAGACTGTTTTGGATTGCTAGCTATTGGGGGGGGAGGTGGAACGTGCAGATCTGCCCTCACCGAGGAGGGAGCGCTTGTACCTAAGGCCACACCCCCTGACATCACCGGAAGTGTGTCAGAAGGCAACACCCACTGCAACTTACCTGGCTGCTTCTTGCTCTGACTGAGGGCTGCTGGGGGCAGGGGGTGGGGCTTGTTGCATGTGCCCGCCCCCTGGGCTCTTTACTGCCAGAGCTTCACTCCTGTGCTCTCCTGCAGGAAACGACCCCTGGTACACATTAATGCTAATCTCTGACTGATGTAAAAGCTAAGGGGCATTTGTCATTATAAATTATATCACCAGCTTGCTGTTTCTTAATGTAAAATGGCATCCAAAATTGAGCATCTTGGATGAAGAGAAGGGGAAGTTGATTCTTTTCAAAAACTTTTTTTAAAAAAAAATATATATATTTATTGCATTTATGGAAAAGAATCTTCCATTGTCTCTGGTTGCCACTGGCAAAGATAATGAGTCAGTAACCCACACAGAAGAACAAAGGTTGCACACTGTTATGTATCGGGACTGAAACATTGCGGGGCTGTGCTGCCAGAGACAGGGTGACCTTGGAGCCGAATAACAATAGACCACCAGGATTCTGGCAATAACCAATTAAGATGTAAAGTCTGATAAATAGCCTATCGTTGGGAGTGGGGTGTGTTAGGGTGTGGCCATTGCAGGCCACATTGATGTCGTGGAAGTAGTGACAGACTTCATGTTCCTGGGATCCCAGATCACCGCAGTCTGTGACAGCAGCCATGAAATTAAAAGACGCCTGCTCCTTGGAGGAAAGCGATGGCGAACCTAAACAGCATGCTAAAAAGTAGAGACATCACCCTGCCAACAAAAGTCCGCATGGTCAAAGCAATGGTATTCCCAGTAGTCATGTATGGCTGCGAGAGTTGGACTATAAGGAAGGCCGAGCGCCGAAGAATAGATTCTTTTGAACTATGGTGCTGGAGAAGACTCTTGGACTGCAAGAAGATCAAATCAGTCAATCCTAAAAGAAATCAACCCTGACTGTTCCCTGGAAGGCCAGATAATGAAACTGAAGCTCAAAGACTCTGGCCACCCAATGAGAAGGGAGGTGGGTGGGGCTGAGAGAGCTCTTGACAGAAACGGCTCTTTTCCAAGGATAGCTCTTATCAGAACTACGGCTTGCCGAAGGTCATCCAGCCAGGTGCAAGTGGAACGAATCTGTGGGCAGCCCATGGCAAACCATTTGCTAGTACATTTGTTGAGATATTTTTTAACTGCGCAGCTTTGGTGGCACGCCACGGGTTGGCCACGGGTGCGCTACGCGTGCCAGATGTTGCGGTGTGATCGCGCCCTGAAAATCCGCCCAGCATTCGTGGCTCTCCCACGGCAAATTCGCCATGTGAACAGGGCCCATGTTGGTCTGAAGCAGCAAAACAAAATTGTTTGAGTCCAGAGGCACCTCTAAGGCCAACAAAGTTTTATTCAAGGTATAAGCGTTCATGTGCACACACACTTCTTCAGAGACAATGAAACGGAAATTACGAGTCCATTCATATCGGTAGAGGGTGAGCAGTAAATTAGCATACAGCATAATGAAGATGTTTAACGGATTCAAGGATCAAACAGGAGTAACCAGATTAGTTTGTATGGTTATCATTTGTTTGGGTTTAATTGGGGTGGGGGGGACATAGTGAAGGAAATAAGTATGTCAAAATTGGAGGTTGATTAGCAGACGTATCTGTAATTGTGGAATGCTGAGCGTAATTAACTGAGATCCTGTTGTTGCACGTACCCTGCCGGGAAGGGCGGTAGCCACCACTACCACCTATTTATCCATCAGGAAGCCTGGGTTTGGTAGCACCAGCCCCTCCCCAAGCTACGGACCTGCTTCTTTAGGGGAACATAAGAACAACAATGGGAGGGCTTCTAATGTCCTGGCCCCACTGCTGGGCCTCCTGGTGGCACCTGGTATTTCTGGCCACTGTGTGACACAGGGTGTTGGGCTGGATGGGCCTTTGGCCTGATCCAACACTGGCTTCTTCCCTCATGTTCTTATATCTGGGGCAAGGGATGCTCTGTATTCTTGGTGCTTGGGGTGGGGCAACAGTGGGAGGGCTTCTAATGTCCTGGCCACACTGGTGGACCTCCTGGTGGCACCTGGTATTTCTGGCCACTGTGTGACACAGGGTGTTGGACTGGATGGGCCTTTGGCCTGATCCAACACTGGCTTCTTCTCATGTTCTTATATCTGGGGCAAGGGATGCTCTGTATTCTTGGTGCTT